ATGCTAATGAGTTTCTGCTGTTGGGTGTGGCCTATTATGCTAATGAGTTTCTGCTGTTGGGTGTGGCCTATTATGCTAATGAGTTTCTGCTGTTGGGTGTGGCCTATTATGCTAATGACTTCCCTGGCTTTTTCTTTAAAAAAAAAAAAGCCCTGGAGAGGTATATAGCTCTCCATGTATATAGCTCTGTGAACGGGTAGTGTCAGTAACAACTGGCTGGAGAACAACTGGCAGATGGGTTCATTACATGGAGATGAAGAAGACAAGCAACTTCCTGGTGCAGTCCTGGTTCCCTGGATCACAACTATCACATTTAATCTAATAAAAACAAATGCTGATCCTTGTAGCATTTAAAGAGCTTGTTGTTTTATCATTTGAAAACTAAAATGTGCCAAAGGTTCCACACTGAGAGGAAACAGTTAAATCATTCTCCAAAGCTGTGAAGGCCCCCCCAGTGTTGTAACAGCTCCTTGTGACCTAAACCATCCCTGACATGTGTTTATCCAGCCTTTCCTTAAAAACCTCCAGAGAAGGAAATTCCACAACTTCCCTGGGCAAATGGTTGCATTGCCTAATTGTTCTTAGCATTAAGGATTTATTTCTTTCCCAGCCTAAGGGCATGTCGGCAGAGGAGTTTCACAGTGCTGCTGATTCTAGTACTTCAGTAGAGAAAGGTAAGACAATGTATCCACAAAAAGGAGGCACCTTCCTTCTCTCTGGAATTGTTCATGACATTTCTCCATATGCTGTTAGGATCAGATACACCACAGAGTATTGTGAAGTAGTTGGTTTTAAGGCAGAACAGACTGGAAGGGATGGAGCCATCCTTCCAATTACATTTTTTAAAAATGAGCTTCAATCTAGAGTGAAAAGGTTTCATCAGTTATATGAGGGGAGGGTTTTTTTAAGTACCAAATTATCTAATAACTAGAGATGGGCATGAAACGGCTCACAAACTAAAGTTCTTGACAAATTTTGGCCAGTTCGTGGTTTGTAAACTCAAGTTTGTGGCAGGTCAACCAGCACAAACTTTCCATGAACTTTCAAGCAGTTTGTGAGGGTTTGTGACTGGATACATTTCCAGGCAGACTGACTCCACTCGATCTAAACGTTTTCCAAACTTCAAAGCAAGGGGGGGTGGAAGTTGGAAAGCATGTAGAGGAGCATCCAGGGGAGGTCCCCAACAACTTTGATGTCTTTAGCTTGCATAGGATCTGTTCTATACACTCCTGACCCTCCTGAACATGCACCTGTCAAAATGACAGTCTGTAATTTCCCCAGAAAGCACTTTCCTGGGTGCTTTGGGGGGGGGGGCATAACTCAGACCCTGTAAATCCAATCCTCGCCAAACTTGGATGGCAGGTAGAGGTGAGTCAGGCCAGTGGAGGGGCTCTTCAATTTTCCCATGAACCGAACTGGTTTGTTCATAACATTGCGTGGTTCATGAACCGGGTACACCATGAACCGAATCACATTTTCCTGATTCGTGGCCATCCCTACTAAGGACTGTGCCACCCACCTTACACTGCAGTTCTCCTGGTTATCAGAATTGACAAAATGCCTAACTAGTCCTTCAAACCATTTTTACTGGACTCCATACTTTTCCATTCCTTGTTGCTATCACCAGTGATGCCACCACAAACCGCAATGTCACAGTCTAGCTGTAACATTACAACTCTAATGGTGAAAATGCTTCAGATGGGTATTATCTCACTGCCTTTATTAAGATCTGCATTACAGAGCCACTGGACTTCATACTTTTCCATTCCTTGTTGCTATCACCAGTGATGCCACCACAAACCGCAATGTCACAGTCTAGCTGTAACATTACAACTCTAATGGTGAAAATGCTTCAGATGGGTATTATCTCACTGCCTTTATTAAGATCTGCATTACAGAGCCACAGAATTCCATTGATTTACATATTTATTGCTTTTCAACACATGCTGTCACATCATATTCTTGCATTACAATAAGTTAAAATAATAAAAGTGAGAGGGAAGGGGTTGCTCAGCCGAACATGGGTGGAGACACAATAGGTAGGTTCTTGGCTGCTGGTTCCCCATCTCCTGACAGAGTCAATATGATGCAGTGCTTAAGCAGTTCAAATCCCCACTCATAGATGAAGCTCCTTTGAGTTGATGACTTTCTCTCAGTGTAACCTACCTGTAAGAATAAAATGGAGGATGAAGAACCATTCACGCCATCCTGAGTGCCTTGGAAGCAGGACAGGAAAGGCCTCATAAACAGCAGCTGGAATTTGAAGGGAGAAATTCCTCAGCTGGGACTGGATTGATGCACAGTGCCTATGTGCCTCTTGGCTCCTCTCTGATGGTCTCATCACTGGCAACTTGAAACTGAAGGGGTCCTCTGTTGGAGCCAAGACCAGGTATATTGTAGGGATGCCTGGTTGCTGCCCCCTCTCTGTGATGATCTCACCCATTGGCTGCTAGAAGCTGGAAAAAGTGGGCCCTCAGCTTGATGTGGAACCAAGCACAACAGAGAGGTATTTTGCAGTTACTTTCCCTCCTTTCTGAGCAAAATATTATCTATCCATAAACGTAACACCAGTTCGTGATTAGCAAAAGGCAAGTAACTGTTTCTTCCAGGCAGGTAATTTCCAAATTCATGGCTATAGCAGCACACATAACTATAGGCGGATAGGTGTAGTGGTTAAGTGCGCGGACTCTAATCTGGGAGAACCGGGTTTGATTCCCTCCACTTGCACCTGGCTGGATGACCCTGGGCAAGCCATAACTCTGGCACAGCTGTTCTTGAAAAAGAGCAGTTTCTGTCAAGAGTTCTCTCAGCCCCACCTACCTCACAGGGTGTCTGTTGTGGGGAGGGGAAGGGAAAGGAGTTTGTAAGCCGCTCTGAGACACCTTTGGATAGTGAAGGGCGGGGTATAAATCCAATCTCTTCTTCTTCTTCTTCTACTGCCCCCCTCCCTTTTTTTACTTCAAGACTGTGGACCCCTTTGACAAGAATGTCAAAATTGTTAAGGCAGTTCCCCAGCAACTTGAAAACTGAAATCTGGCATGCATAGGTTCCAGAAAAAAACCTCTGAATGAACAAGTCTGAACACAGCTAAGGTTCTGATGTGAATGTTTTTAATATCATTGTAACATCCAACACTGAGCAAGCCATGGGACATTATGTTGAACTGCTGAAGTCTCCAATCTGTTTTGGATCAGAGAAAGGACGTATTTGCTGTTGCAAACAGGATTCATCATTGATTAAATGTAATGTTATGTGACTTTCCCCTTCACATGTTTTAGCAATTCTGATACAAAGAGGGAGAAAGACAAAGAACTGGATCCTGGCTAAATTTGACAGGCAATTTCCACGGATTCCCCCAACCTACTGCAAACCACAAGAACATAAGAAGAGCCCTGCCGGATCAGACCAGTGGTCCATCTAGTCCAGCATTCTGTCTCATGCAGTGGCCAACCAGTTCTCCTGGAGGGTAAACAACAGGTCATAGAGGCTGAGACCTTCCCCTGATGTTGACTCTTGGCACTGGGATTCAGAGGTTGACTGCCTCTGAACATGGAGATGCCTCTCAGTCACCATGGCTAGTAGCCACTGATAGACCTATCCTCCATGAATCTATCTAAACCCCTTTTAAAGTCACTCTCTGTGTAAAGAAGTATTTCCTTTTGTCCGTCCTGCATCTACTGCCCATCAGCTTCACTGGATGCCCTTGAGGGCGGGTTATAAATTTAAATAAATAAATAAATAAATAGTGTTTTAGGAGAGGGAGAAAAAATTCTGTCAACTCTCTCCACTCCATGCATAATTTTATAAACCTCTATCATGTTCCCCCTTAGTAATCTCTTTTCTAAATGGAAAAGTCCCAGTCTCTTCAGCCTTTCCTCACAAGTTGACAGTTTCATTGAGTTATCCATTAGGACCCAATATCTTGTTCCCTCGCAGTCTCGGCAAGTTCAGACCCCATTAGCCTATACTTGGAGCTGGGATTTTTGTGTCCCAGTGTGTATTACCTTACACTTACCAACACTGAACTTCATTTGCCACATTGTGGCCCACTCACCCAACTTGTGGAGATCCTCTTGGAGCTCTTCATAGTCAGCCTTGGTTTTCACCATCCTGAATAATTCTGTGTCATCTGCAAACTTGGCTACTACACTACACACACCCTAGTTCCAGTTCATTTATGAACAATTTAAATAGCACTGGCCTCAATACCAGTCCTTGTAGGACCCCACTGCTTACTTCCCTCCATTGTGAGAACTCTTCATTTATTTCTGTTCTTCGCTTCCTGTCATTTAACCAATTTTTAAGCCATAAGAGAACCCATCCACATATCCCATGACTGCTAAGTTTACTCAGGACTCTTTGATGAGGTACTTAAACTCTCTTGATGTCATTACTCAGGGTGCCCTGCAAGCCTGTAGCCACGAGGGGCCCACAGGGGTGATGTCCCCTCCCGAATTCGCCCCTCCCCTCACAAATCAGCTGGAGCAGGAGGGGTCAGGAGGCCTTCCTGCCCTTAGTCATTGCCTGATGGTCGGAACAGCGGGAGCCTCAAACCGCCACGCTGGCTGGCCCATGTCATCCTGGGGAAGCCCAGGAAGCTTGGGCAGGCTCTACTCAAGGCTTGCATGCTGGAAACCATTTCTCCCCCCTTGGTTTTTCCCCCCTCCTCTTTTTTTTTTTGTCTTAATCTGCTGGGGCTGGGGCGGGGGAAGACCTGTTAGTTTTCCTGAGGCTTGCAGAAACTTTTGTACAGGAAACCTCAGAGAGAGGTACTGCAAACCTATTCCGTGTGTGAGTGTCAGTGAGAATCCAAGTTGCAACCACACCATCTTTTGTAAAGATGGGGAGGGGAAATGCTGAGATGCCTGCAAATATGTGAACTTATCTCCTTCCTCCCCCCTTCTCCAGCATGGATGTTTATTGCAAGCAAAAAAGCCAGAACAGTTATTGCACCCTGGCTCTTGACTTACAGCAGAATATTCTTTTATGGCATGCAAAGGGTGAGAAAAAATTCCTTCTTTCTGACCATCAAAGTAGTGTTGAAGAGTGTAGTAAGAATGGGAATATAAAGATTTTCATATATAGGTTTTTCCTTCTTGGTTGTTCATATTCATATTTATCTGGTTTTTATAGATTTATTCTTTAAGTAATATTTTATTAGGATGTTAGAAAGGCCTGTTATATAGAAGGCTTTCCTCTTGTAGGTCTGATATTGCTAGCAGACAACATAATAGGTACAAAGTTCATGATTCTGTAGTTCTTAGGGCAAACCTTTCTATGTCTGGGTCAGATAAGATTTTAGTCTCGTATCAGTAATGAATACTTTTGTTTAGGTAAGAACAAGCTTTAGCTGATATGCCTTAGGTCATGTCAAGTAAATATGTGACGCCATTGCATAGACACACCTTTCTTACATTTGACCAATAAGGAGATTTTTATGTAAATGTTGTTTCAGTTTTTGTAACCAATTATGCCTTTTGAATATTATTCCCATGATGATGGTATGATGATGTCATTTTAAGTATTTAACTTTATGTAGCTCCTGAATATGTTCAGAATATGCTCAAGAAGAAGATGAGGAAGAAAAAGGAGAAAGTTGTCAATTTTTGGTTAACTATTTGGTCTAATTGTTTTCCTATTAAAAGAGGCATGTTTTCTAATTATGCTGAGAAGAAAGCAATCAGCTTTGATGGGTCCTTTGGCCTGTTTTCCATATTTCATTACAATAAAATACAAGAACATCCTCCTCATTTGACTTCATTTTTGACATGGAATCTAATATCTACAACAAGTGGGCCTTGTTGATACTTCTGCTGACTGGGATATGGACAGCCGAGAGAGGCTCCTCCTAAATTTAGGGGGACTTCTCCCCCCCCATACACAGCAGCACTGATTTTTATAAGTTGCATGGTTGCAAAAGGGGGGGGGGACAGGAATAGAATAATACTTGTTATTTGGGAGTGGAATTTCTCAAACAGAGTTGGCAATCCTAGGCCTTCCTCTGTGCAAAAAAGTGGGTTAGAAAAACCATATTTGTGAACATGTCAAATATTAATATTCTTAGTTGAATTTGTAAATAACCCCCAAGGGAGCTCAGAACACTATACCATGCACGTGTGCTGTAGGTTGCCTTTAGCCACTCAACAACAATCCAGGGAAACTGGCCCAGAATCACTGAGCAAGTGAAAAAGATCCAAGTATGTGGGCCATATTAGGACCCAGAGAAGTTGCTATGATTTGGGCAGTAGGTAAAGCTCTGACATTCCAGGTTGGGAAATTCATGTAGATTTGAGGGGTGGAGCCTGAAGAGAATGAGGTTTGAAGAGGGGTTGGACCTCAGACTCACCCTCCAAACCAGCCATTTCCTCATGGGTAACAATTGTTGCCAATCTCCAGGTGAGGGCTGGAGATCACTCAAAATTACAACTGCTCTTCAGGTAGCAGAGATCAGTTCCTCTGGAGAAAATGGTGGACTCTGTGTCATTATACCCTGCTGAGGTCACCACAGCAAATTGATGCTGAGTGCCCAAGGCCTTGGCACTCTCCAAGAGCCTCTTTCTAGAGCTCGTTGTATTTATTTCCACAATGGGCCTTATTCCTAGTTTATTATATTGATGGTTGATACTCCACTTGGGTTTAGAAACAATGTAAATCCCCCCCTAGACCTATGGACTTGAATTCATTATGTTGTTAAGAAGCTTTTGATAAATGATCTGGTACAAATCTGTGTGCAATCTGATGATCTGCAAGGTGGCAGAAATAATCACTGGGAAAGCCATGGAGATGTGGCCCTCTGTGTCTGCACAGTTCCCAAAGATCTGAAATCAGGAGAGCAACTGTTTTCAAGAGAGATTCCAGAAACAAATTTTTAGTGACACTTTAAACTTTTGCACTAGATTCATGGGCTGCTTTGCTGCCCCTGGAAGAAAACACTGGCTGAAGCACTTCTTTTTCTTTGCCTCAAGGACTCTCTAGAACTCAGCAATACTTGTCACCACCACTATGTGTCGCTACTGTCAATGCTTGGAATCTGGTGATGCTCACCTGATTCTCAGCCTCTTGGCATCTTTTTCTTTGCACTCAAAGCATTATTTTCATTTGTAAGTACTTGATTATTTATTCAAGTGAGCCAGAGTGCATCTTGATCATTTCTCTACTACTTCTTCACCATCTCTGCCCATTTCGTGCAGGTAGGGAAAAAGAGTCACAATGTATGATCCAACCTTCTGTTTACTTTATTAGCAGAAAAGGGAGAGGTTTATATACACACCATTAGAGCAAATAGAGTTGTTCCACTGGATCCTGTTTCAGTAGCATTTATACACATATATTATATTGCTTAAGAGGCACCTTTAAGGAAATAATTTCTCCTGTTTTTTAAAAAAACCCAATTATTTTGCTCTGTATTTCATAGATATAATTTAAAATATGCATGTAGTCTTTTGTTCTTCCCCAAGTTTTTAATCATTTACATAGGCTTTTTTTAGTGCATGAAGTAGCTTAACAATTCTCAACATTCATTTCCATAACAAACTTGTCTCCATTTTACAGGTAAAAAAATTAACCGTACATAATCTTAAACTGCGTTATACCCTTCTGAGCTCATTGACATCAAGTGAACTTAGAAGAGTGTAATTTTGCTTTGAGTTGCACTGCGACTGTGAATGACTTGCCCATGAATATCCAGTGAGTTCATTATTCAGTTTTTCATTTTACAATGAAACCTACAAATCATATGTGTGTTTTCAAAGAGTTTTTCAGTGTAAGTCAGCTATGGGTAAGTAATCAGAATAGACCCTTAAACTAGTATGTTAATAAATGTAACTCGTCTGAATTCAAAATTAAAATTGTATCATTTACACAAGTGCATCTGAAGAGGCTATGCATGGCTATACCACTAGACAGCAGGGAGCCCTGACTAGTTGGAGCTGCCCACTGCGAACTACACATGGCAAACAAGAAAGGATATGCTCCACCACATCCATATTTGTGCAAGGATAATATAATTTATTCTCTTTTTCTTCACCTCTCCATAAAACAGTGCTCAAATAATGTGGCAAAAGGTAGGGCGAATTGATGCTACACCCATAGGCTTCTAAAACTAATTGCTGAGGGGTTTATTACAAATCAGGCAGTGAAATCCGCTCTCAGAATAGATTACCAACCACACAACAACCAACAATATTCATATTACATCAGTTATTAAGGAGCCCATATGCATACATCACACTATATTTATTACTGTGACGAAGTTCTACCTGCTGGGTTTCCCTGAGGTAACGGATACCTGGCCAAGAGGAAGGGAAGGTTGCAGAATGAAAAGAGGACAGAACAAATACACATTACATTGACTGAAAGTAAAATGTCATTTAAAGGTGTGGGTTGTTGTTGTTTATTTTTTTTGGGGGGGTGACCAACAAAGTTGAGAAACAAGTGCTATGAGTACCAACAAAAGTACAGGAAATGAGACAGATCGTTTCAAAACCCAGACTGGGAGGTTTATACTTGGAACAAAATGTGAGGGTGTCTGCCTTCTGCCAGGAGAACTTAGAAGACCCCGTACTGCCTGGGGATACTGCTATGTACCCTGTTTCCCCGAAAATAAGACCTACCCCAAAAATAAGCCCTAGCAGGATTTCTATGCATTTGTGGTATAAGCCCTAGTGTGTCTTCTTGAGAAAAAATAAATATAAGACAGTGTCTTATTTTCGGGGAAACACGGTAGACGTGCTTCCCCAAGTCCTCTCCAACCCATGTGTGGTAGAATGCTGTACTGATGTGGAATAAAAAAATTGAGCGCAAACACCTAGAGCTAAATTACTGCTGTCCTCCTTAACCAGTCACAAGAGCAAAACAGCAGAATATTAACAGCTACCTTTTATTTATTTAATTAGATATTACTATGCCTCTCAAACTCACCATCAAGATGATAAGGGGTAACCTGCCCCCCCCTTCACATGTACACTTATTTTATTTAGAAAATGTTACATGTCACCTCTCAGAGACTTGCCTGAGGGAGCTTACAAAATAAAACCATTTTTAAAAGCCACTAAAAGAAAAAAACGAGAGCATAAAAACAGTATATACACGAGACCCTTAATGGAAAGCATGAGTAAAAAGAATGTTTAGCCTGCTGCTTGTCATATATGCTCGAAGAAATGAATTTTTTCATCTCCTTTAGTGAATGTGAGTCGAATAGATAACACTTCTTTCAGACTGTTTATAATGAGTTTTTGTGTCCAAAGCATAGGGCTAATGAACATGGAGACCAAGCTTTATGAAAAGCACTGGGTTCACCGCATGGAGGACTCAGACGACGACATGCTTTAGCACACGTTTATTGTACTTAACACAGACAAAGACTAACTCTAACGGCCCAACTGGGCCAACTATATACATATCCACCCAGCACCCCCCATTCCCATTGGAGGGTTTGAATGTCCCGCCAAAGTGGCTATTGGTTGGGGCTGGGGGATCCAGGATCCGAAGTTTCCATTGTTCTAGGATCCAAGCTCTTGCCTGTGCCGCAGACCCCTCGTGGCGGCCCGCATACATAACACTTTAGTACTTCACTTTAAATAGAAAGGTGCTAGCCTAGGTCTCAGTGTTGCTTGGGGTGTGTAGAATGACTGTGGTTCAGAGATGGGCCAGGTCATTTTGGGTGCCCAAAGCAGAAAATGCAAATATTCTCTTTTCTTTTCTTCCAGACCTGCCCTTCTCTGATTACTTGATATAAGGGGAAATCTTATCATAGATGCTCAGAAGAAGCATTTTTCCTGATTATCACTTTTTCCAGAATTATCCTGGAAAGCACACTCCAGAGATTGAATTGTGGCACAAATTAAGACCAGTCCATGTATTGTCTGTGGGTTTACTGGGTGGTCTTTTTTTAGCAGTTCAGGAGAGATTTTTATTTATATAACTGAATTTTCTGTTGTTAAAAAGGATCTCATTGTAGCATAACTGGTTAAGATGCTCTGCCTCAGTGTTTTCTAGTCAGATAATGGAGGGGAGACCTGACAGAAGTTGATGGGGAATGATGATGAAATCCACCCCCCAATTATTACTATAGCATGGGGTTCCCAATAGATAGCTGTCCATAACTAGTTTATGGATTGAGATGGTTTATGATGATGGTTTTACGTGGAGAAGGCAAATTCATGGAGGGTAGGTCTATCAGCCAATATGACTGTTGGCTAAAGATCCAGTGCACACCTGAAGATGCCTTATACCAAGTCAGACCTTTGGTCCATCAAAGTCAGTTCTGTTGATTCTAACTGGCAGTGGTTCTGCAGGGCACCAAGCACAGGACTTGCAGGATGCTTCCTACCGGATCCTCTTAACTGGAGATACCAGGGACTGAATCTGGAATCTTCTGCACGCAGAACAGATGATCTGTCACTGAGCCATGGTGCCCATTCCCTAGCTATTACCAACTCATGGGGAAAGGCTGATATCTTTATGCTTGCTGATGGGTTTGTACCTCACACCTATTCCAAACAAGCAGCTAGACCAGAGGGCCCTTGGGATTATCCAGCATAGCTGTTATCAGATTATAGGAAACCACCCAAATCCGTGTGGGATTATGCTGCAGTGTTGAGGGCGCAGCCCCCTCCATTACAACACCAGGGATTCTTTCCTGCAGCAAGGAAGGCCCGAAGACCGAAAGGCTCTCGCGTGTTTTCCCTTCCTCCCCACCGAGGACCGGCTAAGTGGGAAGCGCATCGATCCGCTGCTGCTGCTGCTTCCCGCTCGGGCAGCTGAGCTAATCTTCCCCATCCCGGTTCCCCGTCCTTCCACCCCGCCCTTTCCCGCCCCACACGAAGGAGAAGGCGAAACCCGCGAGCAGCCCAGCCAAGTTGCTGCTGGTAATCCCTCCGGCCCAGATGCCGGAAGGATGCAGCGCAGGCGGGCGACTGCGAGAAAAGGGAGGCGGGTGACGAGGCTGGGCGTCCAAAGGGGCGGCGGGGGTGGGGTGGGGGAGTGAATACTCCAGGCAGGCTTTCTAATTAGAGAAATTTGGGCTCTTGCTCCCCCCCCCATCCCTTCCTCGCGCCCTCCCCCTCGAGCCAGTTCGGGCTCTTTTTACGTCTGTGGGAGGCAGCATAAGAAGGGGCTGGAGGGGGGGAACGGCGAGTGGAGAGCTTCTTGTGGCGGTAGGAGCAGGCGAGGCAGCCAAGGGAGCTTCGCGGGGTGGCCTTGCGGGGGACTTGGAGCGGGCTCGCCCACCCACTTGCAAGTCGACACCAGGCGCGGACTCTGCCGCCGCGGCCACCTCACACGGACGGACACCTTCGGCGGCGCCTATATAAAGGGCGGCCATGGAGTAGGTGGCAGAGACTGGACGGCGTGAGCGCCGCGGAACTGAGACCGAGGGGAGTGGGAAGCAGCCAGCCGGCCAAGCGGAGCGGGCTCGCGGCAGCGGCACCGCCGGAGAACCGTCGAAGGCACCCAGTTGGAGACAGGTAACGCTGGCTGGCAGCTGCGCGGCGCTCCAGAAGCAGGTCTCGACGAGGTTTGCAAGGCGGCGGCAGCAGTGCGCGACAGTTCCCGCCAAATCCAGCTACCTGCCGGGACGCTTGCTGGGCACGGCGCAAGGGTGTCGCTCGCCTCTCCCGCCACGAGGGAGGCAGAGCGGGGCCGACGCCAGCTCGGGGCTCTCCGCAAGCCCGTGGCCCGGCGAAGATTCAGCCAAGGGCTGCTGGCCGCGGACCACGCATGTGCTGGGTGGTACTTCCGAGGGAGCGCGTCCAGGCGTTTGGTCCGTTGGCGTCTGCAGGGAGGGGGAGAGCTTAACCAAAGCCGTGGACCTTGTTCAGAAAGGAGAGGGTGGGGGAAATTCTCCCTCTCCCCCAAGTGACTGATGCACAAATCCGCGACTGCTCTGGACGCAGCGCCCTGCTTGCAAAACTTTTTGTGCAAGACGCTTTGCCCCTTGCGTGCGCCTTCTTAGCAAGGCAGTTTCCCAGTTCCAAGCTTCTCTTCTTCATCTGTTACGTTCTATTCCGCCCGTGGCTCAGTGGGCTCCGTCAGAGGGGTTCAGATCATTCGCTTTCGTTTTAGCGTCACAACAATCCTCTGAGGTAGATTAGACAGCGGAGTGGGGAGTTGAACCTGCTGTTCTTTGCGCCTAGTTGGGCAACTTAACCTCTGCACCAGGCTGCTGTGCGTCCAAACCATGATGTAATGCCGATTCTCTCCATTGGGTGAATTTAACCCGGTCGGGATACGTTTAAGAGGGGGGCGCGCGTCTTCGAGCCTGCTTGCTGAGAAAGCACAAATAACTTCTCTTTTTCCTCGTAAGACCATTCCATTCCATTAATGGGTAGGCTTGAAGACACGAACAAGGTTGTGATTTTCCAGACGCTCGCCTGGTGGGTTTGTGTTTCTTAAACCAAGGGTTCCAGAATTGGCTGGAGATCGTAGACGGATTGGCTGGGATGTGAGATCTCCAGAAACACTGGGAATCCCAGCATCCATAGCCCACTAGGTGACACTCCCTTCAAAAGAAAGTGTGATGTTAATTTGGTTGGGGGTGTGTGCAGGGTGGAGGGCTGCACCCATCAGCATGGATGACGGGAGAGTCACCAGTGCACATGACGCTGCCTGCCGAGGCTCCAACCAATTCCTGAGTTCCTCAAAGGTTTTGCTTTTGACGGACGTTGGTGAAAGTTTCTCCGCCAGGCCCCAGGATCACTCTATACAAGCCAACTCTTCTAAACTTTCTTATACCCTTACAAGAAACGGACGGGTGCAGGGAGGAGAGGATTTGCCTTTCTCCCTTGCTTATTTTAATGGTGTTGGATCTTGGAGGAAGAGCTCCGTGCCTTTCTGGAAGGGACACCTGACTGCCTCCACTTCCTCTCCCCAGCCTAATTTGTGTAGCGTTGGTGGGGGGGAAAGCCCTGGATTTCCATTGTGTTTCCTAATCCATTGCTGTAATGCTCAAGGGAGGAATTCCGAGTAGCGGATTGGACTGTTGGTTTAGTGCACTGGGGAGTCCTCTGACCAGGATTGCCGTGAAGAGCATAAAGCTATGTGGTACAGCTAAGGATCTGAGGGAAATATGCCAGAGATCAGAACTCCCCATTGTTTTGCTGGGTGTGTTTCAGCAACTAGCCGCTTCCACCCTGACACTCCCCCCCCCCCTTCCAGCTCCCTCCACCCCAATCCTTTCTTCCTTTTTTTCTTCTTCCAGGGAATTACCCAGGAACGTGGCTCCATTTCCTTGCTCCGAGCTTTTCTCCTTTGCAGTGCAATGTGCAGACTCCTAAGGTCTCCTGCGCTGCTTGGACTGGTGCTAGTGATGCTTTCGGCAGGACATTGCAAAGAGAGACCGGAGTCGAGTGCAGAGCTGAAGGAAAGGCAGAACCTCCTAAATCTGATCATGGAGATCATCCAGGAGCTGAGAAAGTACCACCTGGAGGATGAAGAGGAGAACGGAACACAGTATAAACAAGACTATTTGTTGGACCGGAGGGAAGTAACTGATTATGGAGCTTCCTCAGAGGAACAGAGAGTTGGTAAGTAAGTGTGTGTAGACTGTGTTGTGTTAGGACACAGTATCCCCCCCCCCTTTCCCCCGGGGAAAGAGAGAATGAGAAATTGTCCTTTAATATTATCTTTTACTGGATAAACTACCCTAACTTGTTTCTTGGGGGATGTTTGCAGATTCTCTCAGAAAAGCACTGGGAGAGATTCCTCAAGAAGATTGGCTGTGATGGAAAATCTCAAAGGAGAACCCCCCCACCCACCAGCATAGTGGAATAGAAGGGATTTCAGTGCTTTCTGTTATTGGATGGTGCAGAGGAGCACAACCTATAGAAGGAAATCAGGAAAGCATCATGTAAAGGGGATCAGTTTCTAGGATGGCCCCTTGGTCGTATTTATTAGTAGAGTTGGTCATTATCTGAAAATTCTTTCCCCTGAAAAGTTCTTTTTCCAGACTTCTACTTAAAAACCCGTTTTCCTAATTCAAGAAATTATTTCCAGTGTACAAAGCGTGATTAGTTTTTTTCCCCACAGTACCTTAAACCCTTTTCCAAACACACGTGAGCTGTTTTCCTACATCCCTCCAGTAGTGATCTGTGTTTAGCAAACCATCTGTGTGCTCCTAGGCAGAGTTACTCCAGTCCAAGCCCCTTGAAATCTGCACTGTAAAGCTGAAAGTTTGCTTGTGTTTAAATTAATGGACACTACAGGTTTCCAGAAGGATAGCACCCCTAGTGGTTATTTTGCCTTTTTTGCTCTTCATTTCCTGAATTGACCAATAATCCTAACACAACTCCCTTCTGGAGGGTATTTGGTCTTCAGATGCAATCAAGCTAAACCCTTTAGACACAGGCTGTTCATTTGTGCACATGAATACTATGCTTTTCTTGGTGCCTGCACGGCACTGAAATTGCAATGTTTGACTACTAGATACCATAAAGAGGTCTCAAATTGTCTGCCTTTCTGTTGTTCGATTTTAGGAAACCTTTAACGTTGAAATTAAACACTTTTAAAATCCCATTGACTTTAATAAACAAAAGTGATGAAGCATGTTTAATAGAGCATGTACTAAATCTCATTCGCTCCTCCCATTGATCAGTGGCAATTCGCATTAGCTGGGCTACTATACATTATAGCTTATTGTATGGTTTTGATTTATTGCTGTTTATACCTGTGAAATCTAAAGTCTCTAACAATGCTAGTTTTTGTTGTGGTGGTTTAACTGGGTATTACCCATTCAAGAAGTCAGTTGTACTAAAAACTTGATTTTAGTCTATTTTATTCTCATTTATGACAACTGAAATAAAACTACTTACATCTGAGCATTTTGGCTTAGTGGGTGAAAACCAGTGTGGTGTAGTGGTTAAGAGTGGTGGTTCTAATCTGGAGAACTGGATTTGATTCCCCATTCGTCCTCCACATGAAGCCAGCAGGGTGACCTTGGGCCAGTTACAGTTGTCAGAACTTTCAGCCCCACCTGCCTCACAAGATGCGTGTTTTGAGGAGAGGAATGTGATTGTAAGCCACTTTGAGACTCATTAGGGTAGAGAAAAGCGAGGTATAAAAACCTCTTCTTCAGAACTAATTATATTCTTTCATTTCAGTAGAACAATTCTGTTGACAATTGTTTTAGGGATGTATCTTTAGGCATTTTCAAGTCTGCATGCTCTGTACAGTGGATACCTTTTTAAATCAATGGGAGAGGACTGTGTTTTCCATCTGTTTGACTTTTCTCTAGTAGCACAGATGGTTACGCAAATGAGATAGCAGGACTCTAACCCAGAGGTCCCCAACCTTTTAAAGCCTGTGAGCACATTTGGAAATCTGACACAATGTGATGGGCACAGCACAAAACGACCTCTGCCGCTTACTTTCAGTCACACAGTGAAGATCCTTGTGCTGTGGTGACAACAACTGCTGCTAAAGCAGTGTTCTTAAAAATCCGCACAGCCAGACAGAGGCCTTGCTGGGCAAAAGCCCCACCTGGCCCCACCCACTTTCTAAAAGCGTACTTGGTAGGCACCAGGGGAGGTGTTGGCGGGCACCACGTTGGGGATCTTTGCTCAAACCTGTATGTCTTCAGACGGCATGTGGAGGATGTGCAGTAAACACAGTTTTTTCTAAACTTTTCTCCTTGTCAGTCACTCTAGTTTTCTACATGCAGAGTTATTTTTTAAAAAATATGATCCCAACCATTCTCATAGTTGTCTGCGTTAACGTGTTGAATAGGTCTCCAACAGCTGAAAATCGGTTCAACCCAATGGATTAAAATGCCTGCATAGCAATTCTGTACCAATTAGAATATATCGGCTCAGACTGTAAAGTGAACCTGTTATCATCAAAACAGAGCAAGTCCTGAAACAGATTTCCCAGTCTGGAAGTTTTTTTTATTTCTTCAAATTATTGTCACAATAGATTTGTTCCTATCACTGAACACAATCATTACCTAAAGATCTTATCAGCCTTTTGTGTCTATCTGGCCCTGAGGAACTTTTGAGAGAAGCATGTCTTTAATGCTCCATGTGACACATTTAGGTCAACTGTGATAAGGTCAATTCTACTGAGGCTGCCTATACTAAGAAGTAGGAATGAGTTTCAGGAAACGTCTAAACTCACCAGTGAATCAGATCTGGTTCAAAATGTTCTAGCTTTAAATGCGATAAGAGGTTCCAAGGGAATTCAGTGGCCACTTAGACATTCATTTATGGTAAAATAAATAAAGTACAATGTTTCATGTGCAATCAACGTTAAGACATAAATGCAAGTAAGTAAAAGCAATAAAAGATGACAATAAATCAAGGAGACAACCCGAAGTAGCAAAAGCAGATTTCAGTAAACTATTTATATTCCGATCCACTGAATACAAGATGTGGGAAAGCAACCACAGGAGTACAGAGAAAGTAGTTTACTGGGCACGTTTTCTGGTTTGCCCAGCGCTTCACTTATATTTCCTGTAAAAATAAAAACATTATTTTATATACTCAGGCATTTTTCCTGGACCCTTCTAATAGCACATTATAATTCCATGAGTGGGACAGCAAAATGGGGATACAACATGGTAGGGGTTTCTGCTTACTCATGGGCCACTCTGGGGGAGCAGGAAAGTACTAGTTTGTGAATTTAAAAGGAAGAAAACACACCTGAAATGGAACAGTGAACACTAAACATGCCCGTTGCCTTTCCACAGCAATGCTGAGCGTCAGTTAAAATGAGAAGTAACTGGAGAATTATATAGTTTTGGGACACACACTTCTCTATTCCAGGATCCTACGAACCTTTAAATATTTTACCCCTTATTTTAGAGCTTTGAAACAGAAATCCTGGTTGGGGGATTAAAAGCACTTCTGATCAAACAGAGTAGCCTTGGTCCACCAGTAATTCCTTAAGAAGTACAGGGATCAAAGCATCTAACAGCAGGGATCTGAGCCTACCCTGGAATGAGGCAGAGGTGAAACAAAAAGCCGGGGGAGGGGGGGGATATATGCTGGAAGTGTGCATTCTTCACTCCCAATATCCTTCTCCACAACCTTCCATGCAGCATGGTGTGGTAAAAGAATTCCCACTCCTGAATTGTACAGATCGGATTCAGAACTTTCTGTTTATCTAAGCCCAAAGTTCCAGTGTTACACTATTGTACTTGGGTAGTAACAGGTGAGAAGGCTTTCCCAATTGTCCCCCCCCCCCTTGAGATACTCTCTAAGCCTCCAACTTTCCCCTGGATAAGCAGTTAGTTAAATTGTGAAGAAAGGAATTACAGAACCAAGTCCAGATTGTCTTTATTATGATCATCTGTACTTCTGTGTAATGTAAGGCAGTACTGAAGCATTTCTTGTGAAACTTATGGATGTGGAATAACAGCCTAAGATATCTATTTCTGAATTTCCCCTTAATTCTATCACACCTGAGCATCAGCATCTATCTTCAGTGAAAGGCCCTGATACAGCTCAAGCAGTTGGTATGAACATAGTGTCATTTGAAAGACTGTGATGTGTAGGCAGTGCAACTTAACTTACAAGTTTACCATAGAGCTAAGAATTGAAATGTTTATAATGAGGAAGAATGAGTATACTGAGGAAGTATGGATACAATCCCTGTCACCCCAAACCCTTAGATTCTTGGGTGGGGCCAATGATGTGGTGAGGTCAAGTGATGTCATGGGTAGAAAGTGGTGATGTAACATTGAATAGCAGTAAATAGCAGTATTCCCACATTCCGTTAAGTACTGTGCCATCTGTGAATGTGTGTAGTCACAATTATGTGGCTGAAGAAAGGGGCTACCTGATAGATCAACTATCTGCTAAATGTAAACTGTAGTTTAGGTGGTAGTGCCAGAATATTATCTCCCACCTCCAGTTTACTGATGCAGGTTTTACCACAAGCAAGTGTGCTAAGGGAAAAATGATTTGCTTGTGAGACCTTTAATTAGATTACCTATATTTTTCTCTTAATACTAGATACGCGCCCTGACCTGTATAGCCCAGGCAAGCCTAATCTCACTAGAAGCTAAGCACAGCCGACCCTGGCAAGTACTTAGAAGGGAGACCTCCAAGGAATACCAGGGCTGGGACACGGAGGCAGGCAATAACAAGCCACCTCTCTGAAATGTCCAAGCCCTACTAAGGGTCACCAGAGGTCAACCACAACTTCCAGGCACACACACACAAATACCAAAAATTTAAAAAATCAGATGTGTGGTTATTGTTTGAAGGAAAAGCTCTCTGCATGTGTGCTGAGTGTTTGCAGTCTCAGCATTCAGAGGAGGAATTATCTTTGACTCAAATTTAGTTACACCCTCCCAAAGACCTTGTTTTTCTGGATGGAAAGGTGGCAGGCTGGATATTATACCTCCTCAGTCTTTTGCCTTTCTGCAGTGATGTACTTCTTTTTCCATGGTAAGAGACTCGAGAGTTTAAGCATGCCCGAATATTATGCCTGTTCCATGTTCTAACAGGCACTTTATTTAAAAAACAGAAACCTGGGAATTTCTATGTCCCCTGTAGCTATGGTTCTGCCTAAGTTACCAGGCTGTTGAATGTATTACTGACATAATGGATATAAAAAGTGCTTTGAATATTGTTTTAGGCTGATCTTCATTAATTTAGATTACTTACTCCTATGGAGTTAGTTATTGGATCTTTTTTTGGAGAATGTTTTTAAAAAATGAATACTGCCTGGGAAAGTTGTACCAGTTTCACATAAATGCACATTGTGCAAGTAGTGAAGCAACTATACTTTGGTTCTATGATCCCTAAAAATACTGCTGTTCTTTTCAGCTAGCTTTAATTGTATCCTGAGTGAAATGTGTCAGAGAACTATAGTGCAGAACATGAATTATTTTAGTTTAATAAATGTCAATTTCTTTCATCAGAAATCGTTCCTAGAGACCTAAGAATGAAAGACAAATTTTTAAAGCATTTAACAGGTAAGCAAAATTTAACATTTGAGTATGTTAATGTTGTTATCCTGTCTTCAGATACAAATTCAGTTGATCCATATTTTCTTTCCCCCTCTCTAGGTCCTCTCTATTTTGGTCCAAAATGCACTAAACACTTTCATAGACTTTACCACAATACAAGAGACTGCACCATTCCTGCCTGTAAGTGCCACAGCCTATAAAAAAATTGCTAGCTTCTGAAGGTAGTTCAAGTTTTTGTGCAGCTTTCATTCCATTTCTGCTAGGAGCTTGTAGAATTACAGAAATTAATCAAACTACAAACTGTTGCTAAAATAAAATGAAGCTCCAGTGTGGATACCCAGTACATGTAACTGTTAGGCATCATATTATGTTTACTGATCATCAAGTTATGTTCCATGGAAAAATATTTTGCTGTTGCTGCGGTTTCTCAGAGAGGTATTAATGGCTCTTATTTCATTTACCATTAGTTAAAAATGTCCTTTCTTCAGGCAACGGATGGCATCTGAAATCAAAACAGACTTATTCCAGTTTTATTAGTCAACTCCTTTACCTCAGATTTACAACACAGTAACTTGACACTTAAACACATATACTGATACACATTAGTAAGTCAAATCTATTTTAGCTAGGGATGGGTTTTTAGAAAATGTCATCTGCCACTGCTGTTGACAGAGAAATAACAATGGATGCTGAAACAGGACAATTAAGCTGCCTTTTGATATTCATTCTTAAAACCAGGGGCATATTCTTAGCATCTCAGATTTGCAGGCCCTGCATAAGCCAACAAAATAATCTCAGATAATCTCTGCAATGTGGCCTATGGAATAGCGTGCTTCTGGTGACACATAACATCTTCTTGGCCAGCCAAACTGGAATCCCAAGATAGACCTATGCTTTCATCCACTCCACTCAAAAGTAATTTATTTACATATTTAAAGCATTTATATTTTGCCTTAGACTCAAGGCAGCTAATAATGCAATAATGCAAGGATCCAAAATATACTGTTCCAGTATAATTTCTAAACAGCAAACATGTTTAACTTAAAATGAGTAGGTACTACATATTGTTGAAGGGAGCTTCTTGTGGAGATATTTGTCCTTTGGTTCATATATCCAAATACAAAATAATGATTATATAGACACACACATATATGTCATACAGAGACATTAGTTTGCCTGTAAAATACACAAATGATAAACCAGGAATGGAAATCTGCTTATGTATATATGTTAACCAGCAGATAATACACACCTGCACAATTGCTCTATTTTGTATTTGGGTATTTGCACTAAGGAAATAAATAATTATGATAAAGTTGCCTAACAGAAGTAAAGTTCTGCTTTGGGCCCATGATTCAAAACAAAAGCTTTATTATAGGGATGTATAAAAAGGTAAAGGTAAAGGTTCCCTTGCTCGAAAGCCAGTCGAATCCGACTCTAGGGTTGCGGTGCTCATCTCCGTTTCAAAGCCGAAGAGCCAGCGCTGTCTGAAGACATTTCCGTGGTCATGTGGCCGGCATGACTAAACACCGAGGTTATAGGGATGTATGCTGATCCCAAATTCTGAATTGCTGAATATACCCTCACATGGGAGCTGAACCTCTTATCTATGAAACATTTTTCCCTTCCCTATTGTATGCCACTGGCTGGAATAGTAACCAATCTTAAACAGTGTCAGATCCCTTCTACCTAACAAACAAGCAAATGGGTATGTTATATTATGGTCACATTCCTTAGAACTCCTTAATGGAGCATCTTTAACTTGTCTTTCCCTTCCCTCAGTAACTTTAGCTTAACTTGGCAGTCTTCTAATACAACTTGGCTCATATTCTGACTTTTAGGTCTACAGTTTACATTCATTCTTGGCAGCTATTCATAAGACAGTTACTTACCTTTGCAAGTTGGACAGTTGTCATTTGCTGCATTAGCAGAGTTATTCATTCCGCTGCCAGTTACAGCAGACTTTTCAATGTTATATGAATTTGACCTTGGCAGTATTCAAAGATTGGAAAGGCTAGATCATGCACACAAAGAACCATCCTAATATTTGCCATTTAAATCAGGTTGGAGGAGTTCTCAACTAAAAATATGAAGGTTCCCTAAATATTTCTGTTCCATGCTGTTGTTTCCAAATCTCATTTCTTGCATAAGCATTTCTGGCTTGGAGCTTTTGGTTATCACTAACATTTATTGAGGATGTTTCTCATGGTGTCAGTAAACCAAGGTTTGCCACTAAGGCTGCATTCCACACGGCAATTATTCTATGTTGCTTTCATTGCATTCGCAGTAGCAAAGGCATTCATAGAGTACAGTGTACCTGTATGACTTATGTATTTGCAAATACAAACTGATCACATTCACATGTTACATTTTTTGGTGTATACTTAAAACAATATGTGAAATGGCTAAAAATAGGCCAGGGAACTTTCACAATTCAAGAGCCAAACACTAAGGTATATTTAGAGGGCTTAATATAGCACCCTTGCTCAAACTAATCAAGTATGTGAGTGCCTGAATGGAAGGCCTCCTAGGAGGTACCTTTTGAATTCCACGATGAAAAGACAGGCAGAATATAAATGCAATTCATGAACAAAAGTCAACAGTTCTTTCCTCCTAGTTTGCAGATCAAATGATTTTTCATGTTATTAGTCTTTCTATATCAGTGTTAATAGAAAGACAACACTTTAATTCTATTATGCTGCTAAACAGAAGACCAGATTCAAAACTTTATGTTTGCTATATATAGCATGTATGTACAAATATGATATAACTGACTGTTTACATAGATGTTTTGCATTTAATGTGAAGACAGTACTGAAGGTATATCACACTGTCTGATGTCCCATGGCCCGCAAACCATGTTTACATAGGAATACTTTCAAATCACAGTGGAAATAAAACAGCTTTTATTTTTACATATAAAATTCTAAAGTTGCATTTATATAGCAGGTTTCCTAGAGTCACAGATAAGAACTTGTACTTTTAAAAGAAGTTATTTTCAAGATGAATTGCAATATGTTTGTAGTCCCCCGTGTAACCTGGATTTGAGTCCAGTAGCATCTTAGAGACCAACAAGATTTTTGGGGTATGAGATATTTTGAGAGTCAAAACTCCCTGTATTTTTTTAAACCAGTCAATGGGAGTGTATTGGTTGTTTAATTTCTATTTGTGATCTTTTTTACTGTAGACTATAAAAGATGTGCCAGGCTTCTTACTCGGCTAGCAGTAAGTCCAATGTGCATGGAAGGATAAGGTAAGCTTTTGGTAAGAACCAAATGACACTTTATTTGCATGTCTGACCCAACTACATTGTAGATATCAAAAATTCATGAGGGTCAAAACAATAGCCTCCTTGGCTAAGGGATACCCCCTTCAGAGAGTTTGGTGTAACTACCTTTATCTGCCAAAATACTAGTCATTATAAAAGGGACCCCACCACCCCTGTGCTGGACAGCATTATAAAGAATTAAACATAATGTATGAATTAGTCATAGCAACATGCATATAGTGATTTTTTTAAATAAAAAACAAAGCATCCCAGGCAGAGCAGATTCAACAGTTGAGTCAACATCAATTTCCATGTATTGACATTGGTCATCTTTTTATTTATAACTGAATATTATGTACATATTTTAATAAATACATGTGCCTATTTTGTGCATACAAAAATGAGTAGGGCATCTATGATAATTCCCTTATAATATACTCTTAGCAGTGAGGTTAGGGTTGCATTTATTTCTCACTGAAGTAGGTGCTTAACTAATGTAAGAAAGATTGGGAATTTCAGATGTTCTGCTAACATTACATTCAGAACACACGAACTCTCAAAACATTCATGCCTACTGGAATTAGCACAGTGATGCAGTATACATCTTTGGAAACTTGTGAAAAACAAATGTAGCGACTTAATATAAAACATCCACAAATAAAGATTGTATTTCAGAGGTGGAGCTTATTATTCTTTTGATAGTTCCTTGTTTATTTTCTATTTGTTGAATTTATTTTAATGATGGCAACCACAAGCATGGAAAGCCATGCCTTTCCAAAGGCAGGCATGGCTATGCAAGACTGGAAATAAGGGGAACCATAAGAATCTCAGCCAAGTTTGGTCTGAAGTGCCTCCCCCCCCCCAAAGTATTTGCAAGGTCTAGTCCAAGAGGTGCCAATTGTCCATTTTCATGTAGGCCATAATGGAGAATTACCCTCAGTCTGCACTATTGCTACATAAAATTGCAAGATAGTTGCAACCAGCAGACCTGCTGCTCTCTCCTTACTCTGTGTGAGACTGTCACATTCCCTCCTAGGTGCTTTAGACATTTGTTGAATATTATCAGATAAATGCATAAGAGACTGGAGAATGTAAACACTACTTTGTCACATTGCCATCTTAGTAAGCCAAGTAAATCAAGATTCAAAAGGGGGCGAGAATCTTACTTCACCATCTATAAAAACTACTTCCTGGGCGTTATTCCAGGATTTAAACCGACCTAATGAGAAGAGAATTTGTCCTTTCACAGATGATGATCAGTTTGGAATAATGTGCCAACCAGACATGTTTCATCTAAGCTCTTGTTCTCTCTTAAAACCTGTTCACACAATTCACATCTGCATGTGGTAGCCATGGAAAAACACTGATGAGGGAGACTCAGTCAATTCATAGCAAGTTGGCTACAGAAATCCACTACACCAAACATTACTTGAAAGCAGAATTCTGACCATACTAATAAGTTGCATGACTGGCTTGGAGAGGAGCTTGGAGTCAGCATATAAAGAAGTTTAAAAATTACTATGGTGCAATTTATGTGAGCAGACAAGTTATTTCACAGTGCCTTTCAAACTGAGCATCATGTGTTGTTTACACACATCCATAGATGGCAACTATACAGCAGAGTTTTAAATTTAGTATGTTTATAATCTCCCTTTCCCCCTTAAACAGCAGTTCAAACCAGCTGATAAAAAGTGTAAGCTATAGAATTAGAATACACCTTTAAGTGTTTGCACTGATGAATATGCCTGTGGCATTAGTATGATGTTTGTTATTGACACTGCTTTAGCACAGCTGTTGATATAATTCATGTAAATTAATTAGATGCCAGGGCATGGCAGCAGCTATTGCTTAGCATTTAATAAAGCTGACATGGTTAACAAAACAGCTGTTGCCACAAAGCACTTCAGTTTAGACATATGAAAAAGTATACAGTGAGAGACTATACAGAGGTTTTAAAGAATAGAATAAACTTTAACTGAGCCTCCCCCCCCCCCATATGACTGTGTTGGGCTAATTTATGTTCACACCAGTCAAGTGAGAGGAATATGATAAAGAGGAGGGAGTTATGGTTTTAAATCAAGTTTTCCTGTATGTTTATTGCTTAATTGCATAAATGCTATAATGCATCTAGCTTGGATACTAAAGTAACACACTTCAAATACAAATTAATACTTCACTTTTTTCAAATGCTGAGGAAGAATATACAGATTACACTTCCACTGAAAAGTAGTGCACACTTCTCCCCATGACATTTGGAAATACTTATATTTGTGAGTCTACATACCATCTCCAACATCAGAAACAGTGGATGATACTAGCTGTCTTCCCAGAACTAGTAAAGGCCATCATACAATTCAGACATTTTTACTGAATATGAATGTCTGTAGCTGTCCTGTTCTCATGCAGTGATTGGACTTGTGTGGTGGTGCAACAGTGCTGCAACTTCTACTGAACTTTGCACTGTTCTGCTGTTGAAAATATGCTCACTTTCACCTTCTGTCTCGATTGCTTTAGCAACAAAATATAATTGCAGTACTGAACGTAATACGTGGTGGTGGTGCTGCTGCTCCAGTTCTTAACTAATTAAAATGACTGAATCATGTTTGCATGTGTCTGAGGGGAAACAAATCAGCTAAAACAACCAAGATTTTTCAAAGCAGTTATTTTTTTGGAGATCCTTAAACTCATGAAAAGAAAATACTGGATAACCATTGATAAATGAATCAATTTCTCAAGATGCCAGTGTGTGGAATTAATAAAGTAACTGAAATCATTTTGTATTTCATGAAAAATAATCTTATTTTTTCCAGATGTTGCTCTTATCAAAGGGAAATAATAATAATCAAGAACCAAGAGAAGTGCCTTGGAAATTAACAGGGAAATCAAATACCATCTTTGTAACATATTCCATTGTGAACAAGAGATTTATTTTTGCAAGTTGATGAACTACTCATAATTCTTTAAATATGTGTTTTGTATACTTGTCACTGCTGTTTACAGATACATTCTTTATGGTAGAAAAACTACCACTAGAACATCAGTGTTTAATACTTTTAGCTGCCCTACATCAGAAGTGTAGCATTGTCAAAAGATCCAGTAATATCACCCTTTTCAAGTACAAAAATTTTACATTCTAATACTTCGTGGGATCCTGGTCAAGGAGAAGACATCATTTGAGACCTTTTGTGCTTATGAAATTTCAAAATGTTTGGTTACAAACTTATTCACAAATCTGTATTATAAGGGTCAAATCAAACCCCTACAGTACAAACTGCATGCCATGTGCAAAAGACAAATGTGTTTAAGTGGAACTTTGAATTCTGACATATGTTTTCTGTACAAGAGAGGTATAAACATTCCAGCTAAATGTGCAATATGTAAATAATGTAAATAACATAAATAATAAAGTGTTTGGTATACAACTTGGGCATTCTTCCTGCTTCTGAGCTATAGTTTCATAAAAGAGACAAATGTAGTTTGTTAACAAGACAGAGCTGGCTGAAATAAAGTGTTCAGATGTTAGGTACAATAGTGGATAAGGGGTAACATGAAGTTTACTGGAAGAGCATCCTTTCAAATAATTCTTTCAGAACTATCACCTAATATATACTCTACAGACCCATGGCCAAGCTTTCTCCTCCATGGCACTATCACCCATACTAACTTTGTCTGTGCTTCACTTCCAAGGATACCCCCACTTTTAGGCTAGGAGAGCCATTCTGCATGCACAGTCAACTCGGAGCAAGGTTATATTGCTGTGTTTATGGAAGGCTTTGCTTCTGGTTTCACCATTTTATAACAAGGAAAGACTTCTGGCCTGCTGAGAGGACAAGGCAGAACTATTGTTTGATACAAGCGTAGTTCAGATTCTCTCCTGGAATCTACCTTTTACAGGTAAAAGAGAACGGATGAATATCTGGCATGCCCAAAGTGGCAAAGTTTCTCCCACAGTACCAAGGATCCAGCCAAGAGGAGGAGTGCGAAACTGTTCCTGAATCATTTGTACCTGGAGGTACAGAACAAATACAACATAGGACACAATGGAGGTTCTGTATTTGAAAAAGAAGAGGCTTATTTGTGTGTAGTTTTCAAAAGTAGAAAAACTGTTTACAATATTAGACATTATCAGAATTTATTTCAACTGCTAGCTTTATTAATTAGAATTACATTTTATGGTAAAAAGGCATTGGGCTGGATCTAGCCATCTTTTTAAACTCTGTATTCTCAGCACACTATGGCAATCCATCTATGCCTCCACAAAACCAGCTTCAGGGGGACTACAGATAATCATGAGGGAAGTAACAGCTGGGACTGCAATCAGCAGAAATTGTCCTTTCTTGCCTAAGCCACAGAAATATCTCACACCAACATTGGGGATTTTTGCCAACCCCATTACAGCTCCCTGTTCCCCGAAAGAGCTGTATTTCTGTTTCAGGGATCTGTCAGAAGGGTGGAGAAGGTGACAAAAATCCCGTTTGTGAATTTTCTCTGTGGTTTGCGAGATCCAAATCATTATTTGGTTCAGTTTTGAAGCAGCTCCTAAAGATTTACCTTCCATTATCAAAGGGTACAGAGAGATCAAGTACCTCAACTTGGAGTTGCATATTATTAAGGCTAGACAAGGATTTATTTTCTTATCCAAAGCTTGCTGTATCTAGCTTTCTTGAACTAGAAGGAAGTAATGCAAACAATGACATAACACAATGCAGAAAGACTCTTTCCTTTTAAAAACAGGACTTGATGACAAAAGGGATCTAATCCAACAGATGGTCTGTTTTTAAAAAAAAGAATTGGGAAGAACATTAAAGACCTTCCAGTTATGCGAAAAGAAGCGCTCTAAAACACTGTTTTTCAACCCCTGGGTCAGGACAGAGAACTTTCTGCTGGGTTATTGGACCCTATAGAGCTGTTATTTTTTACTGCATTTTGAAAAGACCTGCTGCATGCAGAGCAAGGTGCCATGCTTCCTCTTTGCACATACAATGGGAACAGCAGCATTGGAACAGAGGATTCCACCATAACTCTGGCCCCTTGACTTGTTCCTTACTACAGTAAGGTGCTTGGCTTGTGTTTCCTGTCCCAAGATCTTTTGGTCCGCCGCTCATAGTCCTGGCCTTGACACCGGGGAAGTCATAACTCTGGCCTCCCTCTTCCTAAAACTTGACTGGTCTGGACCAACAGCTGGCATGGTAGCTGCCTCACTCGAAGAATACGTGCTCAGGATAAGTTTGACAGAGATGGGAAGAAGGGTCATAATAGAAGCATACAATTGTTTCTGCCTAAGAACATTCAAGCACTGGATTCTTACTGTGAGACAAGCACAAAAAATGTAGAAAGTGAAGAAAGCAGTGAAATTAGATGCAATCTATAACAGATCACATAACCTTAAAAAAGGATTTAATAAAGAACAGGAAAATACAAAGGAAACCCAGCTTCTACTGTGAGTGGAAGGGCACCTCAGCAAGCCAATACAGAAGTTTGGCTCACAGCCCAAAGTCAAAATTCAACAACGGGGCTGCAGTTTGTATATATTATGTGAACTAAACTCATGTACATATTTCTTGCATAATTTATTCCACTTGTGCTAACAGAAGGCAGAAGCAAGAGCACTGAAGGCCCACTTACTGGAAATCTCTTTCAGGCAACCTCTTGGCTTCTGATATTTCACAAGGCACTGCCTACTCACTTTCAAGCATCATTTCAACAGTGAGAAAGAACAGCTTTTTTGAAACAAAAAAAGAAAGCCAAGATTGAACTCTGTTACTTAGAACATTTTGAGCTTTTCTTATGTTTATGCTAAGCTGCAAAATTCACACATCAATTACTATATTCTAAACGATTGTAAACATTTACAAAATGCTTATTGAACATAAACATTATTTTGTCTGTCTCCAGTACCTAATAATGTGACAACAAAAGAGCTAACACAGGAAATGTATGAAACTGCCTGAAAAATGTAATTGTAATTCTTACAAATACATTAAAATCAAGATGGGTAGCCATGTTCGTCTGTCCATAAGAGTAGAAAAGAGCAAGAGTCCAGTAGCACCTTAAAAACCTAACAAAATTTATAGCAGGGTATGAGCTGTCCGAAGACATGAGCAGTGACTCATGAAAGCCTTTTCATCAGAATATGTATACAGGAATTCTTATATGTAATATATAGAGTTGATGTTTATTCTTTTTGTTGGAAAACCTCTCTCCCATTACATGGATGATCAAACACAATACTGATATCTGAAAGTCTACTATTTCTCAAATAGGACATACAGGAACTGCAATGCAAAACAAAAACGACTAGAATTCAACTGGGATGTCTTTTAGAGGCACATTATTACAATTCGATATCAGTTAAGTTCTAGAACACTTCTATAGAAGAGCTACTGTTTGTTACTTTCAGAAATACTTGAGCACGTTAATGAGGTTTTGCTAAAAACTCTTTACAGGATCTAAGGCACTGTTCATAAACAGTATCAAAATCTTCATCATTCCCCTATGGGAAAAAAAGAGAAACAGAAGATAAGTGGTGATCAGGGGCATCAATGCCTGCTGTAAACACATGTATTCATTAGATACTATGACTGATTTTGTTAGACAGGGGTAAAGGGGCTGGGCTACTTACATAGTATGGATCCTCAATAATAAGCTGTTTCTGGGGATCATAGCTGCCCAACAGCTCAATGCGAGCTTTGTAGTTCTGAATTTGACTGCTCTTCCTTTTCAGATCTCTGTAATTGAAAATATAAAGCAGCCTCTTATAATGAAGTATGATGTGCTTTTTTTTTACTGTATATCAGCAGGTTTGTAATTGGAGTTTGTAAAGTATGAAGGAGACGGAAAGACTGCAAGCGACACTTTGTGATGCACTTTCTTTTCTACAAATGGTATCAAGGACACTATGTATAAAAAGTAATTATGAATCTCTACCTTTTGCAGCAATAAGCACAGGACAATACAGCTAACTGGCTTTTGTCAGTGACATGAATTTACATTGTTTTTTCCCCCAATTCATTTCCCTTTTTCAACTTTAACTTCTGTATAATAAAAATGTTGTTCATGTATTCCAGAGAAAACACTTCGATGCGTCCATTGCAGAATACTCCTTTGTTATGTGTTTCCTTTATTTTAATTACATTTCCTTTATTTTCATTCCTGGTCAATTCAAAAACAATATTCTTCATGAACATTCTCCAGTACTGCACCAATGACTGAAATGCTGGACAATATGTGATCTGGGAGACACAGGTTTAAATCTCTACTCTGCCATGGAAGCTTGCTGGGTGACCTTGGGCCAGTCACACTCACTCAGCCTTGCCTAGCTCACAGGGTTGTTGTGAGGATAAAATGGAGGTGATGAGAACAATGTAAGCTGCTTTGGATCCCACTGGGGAGAAAGATGGGATATGAAGTAAATAAATAAGTTCTACTGCATCTTCTCATTTTTCAACTTTACAAAAACAGAAAGCATTTCACGCTGCTTCAGACTTCCACCCATCGTCACTGACTTGCAGGCAGCCAGCCAACAGTATGTGGATTTTCCCCACATTCAATTCCCCCCCACCCACCAGTCCCTTTTGACCCTGGAAACAATGACTGCTGTAGCTGTGGGACCTACATGGATGAATAACTGCAGAGTTTGGGGTGGGATGTGTATGGCTTCAGTGAGGAGGGTGAAGCAGGCAAAAAGTGTTCCTTTTGTCAGTGGAGCTTACACTTTCTCCTTTCCCATCCTCACTGCAGCTCCCCTGGGGCTGTTTGTCTCTGTGGGTCCTGCAAACCCAGGAATAATCTTTTCAGGGTCAAAAGGACATCTGGGGTAGAGGAAGGGGAGAAAAGAACACGAGGAAGATATACATTGCTCTAACAGTTGGTGGGGTACAAGCCAATAGTTCCATGGTTGATGGCCGTCTCTGGTTTAGATAATGCAAGACTAAGTGGGCAGCCTAGGGTCATATATGGCCAGCCAAAGACACACAGCACCTGATGGCCCTACAACATTTTAATCAAGCCATAATGAAGTGTTTGCCTCAGTAAGGAAAATATCTTCAAGTCACAAAAGGAGGATTCCACATGCCACTGACCCATCTCTCTTTGATTATGAAGGCAACTAAATGTAGGTAAAACAATGCCTTCGATAACCAGAAAATTTTCAATATAAACGGCAGCAGCTTTATTATGGGTCCCAGGCATTTATGAGGGAATCAGTTGCTGTGGTAAGATACACTTTCAGCTCTAGCACATGAGAGGAACTTAACAACTCTGTAGGAAGATTTGATACACTGGCTTTTGTATATGATGATTCGTCTCAAAGACACATTCATGTCAGCAGCTTTTTCTCCTACTATAGAATAAGACTGGTGATCAGTTGCGTGCAGGAGGAACATTTTGCTGTGCTGTAAGTAAGACACCAGTAGTCTGGCTGCTGCCTGACAACTGCCAAGCAACTCTGGGTGTATGTTGTGTGTGTGTACATGTGCAGGGGGCACTTTTTAAAGCTTATAGCTTCCATGTTCCATGTAATCAGAACACATTTTGAGGCTCTGTTTAGCAGAAACAACATCAATATTGGCAGAAATGCTTCTTTTGTACAACTTACCGTAAATTGCTTTCATCCATGCAAAGTATATAATCAAATGTCTGGAAATCATCCTTTGTAATCTAAAATACAACAAATATGTTTAAAGACTGTTAAGCAGAGATCCACGACACCTGTACAGAATTCCAAAAGTATATGCATTGGTAAATAAGAATTCTTTGCGTATATATTCATGTAAGTGTGGTTTTAAACAAAGGGGGGGAGAGTCTAAGTATCACTGGAACTTCTGTAAAATCTGAGGTTTTGTACCCATACCAAGAGATGCTCATATGGGCTGTCTCAAAAATATAGTGTAAGAATTAGTCTCTTGCAAGCATGCATACAGTTGAAAACAGCCTATTCTACTTCCTTATCCATAACTATTCCAGGCAGAGAATCAGGAGTAGCTGATTACAAAAAAAAATAAATACTATGCATGAAAAATGGGCAGGCCACTGGGCAATTAACTGCATTAAAAGCACATGCTAGAATTAATAAAGTCTGTTAGACTTGAAAGTGCCTTTCTTCTCCACTTTGTGTAAAAAAAGGTTCTGCATATCGAATGATTTTCTAGATGGATCTTGACTTTCCCTGCATAAGGAAGGTAGCTGTTCAACAGGCAGAAGCTCTCCCCTACATGCAAATGTGGGTCTAGGGATTGAGTCATGCATGTCGGGTGGAAGTCACCCAAAGGTTGCTGCCAGGCCTAGGTTTGCCAGCCTCCAGATGGCAACCTCCTGCTATTACAACTGACCTCCAGATGACCAAGATCAGCTCCCCTGGAGAAAATGGCTGCTCTGGAGGGTGGACTCTATGGCTTTATACCCTGCTGAGGCCCCTCCCCTCCCCAAACCTCACCCTCTCCAGGCTCCACCCCTCAAATCTCCAGGTATTTCCCAACCCAAAACTGGCAACCCTGTGCCAGAATGTCAGAAAAGACCATGCATGTGCTAAAACAGATTTGGTAAAAAGAAATCTCAACAGTTTTTCAGAAACACTACAAGCTGGAATGAATGAGGAAATGTCCTGCAGGGAAGGGCAGTTTAAAAATCCTACCTAATAAATAAATAAATAAATCCTCAAGTCAGAGAATGATAGAGTACACATGCCAGAGAATCTTGGTATCATAGTACTGTGTGAAAGGCAGCCACTCATACATGTAACATGTATTACATGCTCAGGAGGTCTAGAAAGTTCTAGCTTCAACATTTTATGAAGCTCGCTCAGTTTACACATGGGAAGTAAACATGAATAAGTTTCTCAACATACAAGCAATGTTCCTCCAAAAAGCTACCAGACCTAGACATGAATATTTGCACCATGACAGTCAGATGTGGCCCTAGTTAATGGCTCGTTTATGGAACCTACCCCACAAACCAGTATTTCTTGTTTGAAAAAGTAAAAGATGACCCTCAGGACTTCGGGTCTGATCCAGCTGTCTGTGGACACAAGGGATTGCAGATCATTCCCACCTTCCCTTCCTCCCAGCACAGCTAATTTCAACTGGAGGGAAGGTCCCTAGACTGCGAGACCCACCCCATGGGCCAGGAGGCTGTGGGAGGGGGAGATAAAAATCACACTCTCCCATCAACACAGCTCTGGTGATGGAGGAGGCAGAAAGGGCAAATTGTCCTCCTCTCCCTCCCCATGGTAGCCACCTGTCCCATGGGCTATTTGTCCACGAGGGTCCCGCAACCCAGGAATAAACTATGCCAGAGTTCGAAAGGTCTGCTGAGATTGGGGGAGGACATGGAAGAGTTCTGTGGTTATCAGCACCTTCTGCTGTCACAGATCTGGATCAAACCCTCTGCTTTAGTACTCAGGAATATCAAGCCCCCCCCCCTCCCGATAACGTCACTGGATTGGATCCATCAGCAGCAGCACAAAACTCACAGAATAGGGCTTTCTCTAATCCCCTGTCCTGCTGCAGCCCACAAATCCCCCTGAACTCTTCTTCTGAGGGTTAGAGGAATTTCATTAATAGCATGGTGGGCAAAACAAAGGCTTGCAGTATGTGCATGTCCTATAAATACCATTAAGCTGGTGATGGAACAGCACCCAAATCCAACCTGCTTTCCTAAATGTTCAGGGTACAGCATTAAAAGGCACTAGCATCTAGCTACATCTTAATATTTCATCATTGCATGCACTGAACACACCCATTATCAGGACTGGACAATAATTACAGCATACGACACTCCCAAGCCCTCACCTGGATAGCCCAGGCAAGCCCGATCTCATCAGATGTCAGAAGCTAAGCAGGGCTGACCCTGGTATGTAACTGGAAGGGTGACCTCCAAGGAATACCAGGGCTCAGGATGCAGAGGCAGGCTGTCAAGCCACCTCTCTGAAAAACATCCAAGCCCCCGGAAGGGGTCGCCAGAAGTCACCATGACTTCCAGGCATGCATGCACACACACACACACACACAAAACCCACCAAAAAAAAGACACTCCCATGATTTCTGCCAAACAATAAAACAGACTCTTTCTACCTGTTGCGCTTTATGGGTGGTCTCAATGCCATGATTTCTTAGACAGCTTAAAGCCCTTGCATCTGGGGAGCTCCCCACGTTCCAGTCAGAAACAGCAGCACTGTCTATCATCCACTGCGAACAACAACAACACACATATATTTAAAGAAACATGGGTACAGTACCTGCCTGGCAATATGATTCATGGTAATGCCATGTTTCCGCATGCAATTCTGGCCCCGATAATCTGGAGGGTTTCCTATTTCATACGTAGACGTTGCCGCACTGTCTATCCTCCACTACAGAAAGACAAATTCAAAAATTTACATTTTCTCTCCCTACTATTATAATGCTAAGAGAAGTATTGCTTCAGAAGCCAGAAACAAAAATGTACCTTGTTTTCAGCATTCTGATCAGTTACAAGTTTTCTGAATACAGCTTCCGCTATAGGTGATCGGCAAATATTCCCTGCAGGAAATAGAAATATAAGGATTTAGTATAATGTTTTTAAAATACAGACATGCACCTCTGTCAGCTGAAAAACTTCTGTGATACTGTGATGGCCACACAGCTGCTTTTCAGGCTGTCTTCTGCAGTCCCTTTCAATGGGGTTTGCAGGGCCACGAATCAGTTCAGTTTGTGAACAAACCTCCTGGTTTCGGGTTCAGTTTGTGGTTTGTCCATGAACCACACACGGAGCCACATTTTCCCAGTTCATGCCCATCCCTACTCAAGAGTATAATAGCAACCCTATGGTCAGTGGAGAAGGAATCCGACCCACCTTTCTTTCTAGCATCTCTGATTCTGGAGCACAGTTTGGTATAGTGGTTAAGAGTGGCAGACTCTAATCTGGAGAACCGGGTTTGATTCCCCACTCCTCCACAAGCAGCCAGCTGAGTGACCTTGGGTCAGTCACAGCTCTCAGAGCTGTTCTCTCAAGAGCAGTTCTCTCTGAGCTTTCTCAGCCCCACCTACCTCACAGGATGTCTGTTGTGGGGAGAAGGGAAGGAGATTGTAAACACCTAGCACCCAAAAAGCAGTTTCCCATGCTTCTAAAGTAAAAACCAGCTACCTGGTTTTTGAGCATTTAAAGGTGGCACACAAAACAGTATTTCCTAGAAAACTGAAAATGGGATAACTTCACTTGAGATAGCTTAATGATTCATGTGCGTCTGGGACAAATGAATCCACAGCATTAAGGCAAATGGAGATCAGAATTTCAGCTGTGCCATGGGAAAGATACAAGACAGTCTTCTGTGAATACCAAAGATCCTTTCTGCATTATTAAATCAATGTCCTTTGTAGCTTTTAAGTACCACATCCATTGCTTGTATCTTCTGCCTGTGATGTACTGTCAGACCTCTTTATTTTGTTGCTCCCCAAAGCCATGTACAGAGTGACTGTGAGAAATCAGTATTGATTTCATGAGGTGGCTGTAAGATTCCTTTCCACTGCTCTAAGAAAGTAAGGTGGTAAAACTGCCAAGAGTCATTCAAGCCTTCATAGCATAAGGCTACCTCAGTTGGTGCTTAGAAGTTAACACTGGCCCCGGTCACACTGGGGGAAAAGGCACGGCTAAAGTGCGGCTTTTTTGAGCCACATCAAAAGAGAAGCGCGGCGGCGGGATCAGACAGATCCCCCCAGCCGCCCTGCAGTTCTTCCCCGGCATGACCAGATGCCGGGGGGGGGGGGGGGGGCCAGGGCCGACGGACCGGAGAGCGAGGCGATCCCACTGCGCATGTGTGTGCATGTGCAGTTCGGCAGGACCTCACATGCTGCGGGAGAGACGGGCGTGCCGGCGATCCCACGGCCGCTACTGCTGTGGATTTTCTGGTAAGTACTAGTGTTTTGAAGGGTTTTTTTAAATCCACATCTTCGGCCTCAAGAGACGGATCGGGGACGGGTGCACACCGCTTCCCAGATGTTGCGGTGGGATCGCGCCCGCTTGATGTGCCCCCGATCCGTCCCTCTTGCGGATCAAAGCCTCCCGTGTGACCGGGGCCACTGTTACATTTCAAGTTAAATTCTGAAGGGTTGCTGGCCATACTATGCACCAGTGTTCTAAGTGCTCTGCTGTTTTCAGTAGCATTACTGATGCAAGGCACTTCTTGTGCTGATTTATGATCTTCAATAGGCTGACCACCGTACATTACCAGTATAGCAGAACCCAAACTTTCCAGATTTTATTCCTAATTCCAAATTACCTACTGAAGTCAGAGTTTACAATCTGCAAAAGTTTCTCTTTCCTAAGACACACCTAGTCCTTTTGTCTAAGATAAATGCAATTATATTGGGGAAACAAATACTGAGAAAACTATATCGGGGGAGACATAAACTACTTGTCCTGCTGTCCCACCTCATGTCACATACAGATTTTCAAGCTTGATTTAAGTAGTCAAGAAAACATGGATCAACTTTCTCCATCCTCTCAACAGCTTGTAAATCTGGACTACAGTCTGCTCTTCCATTTGTATTGATGCTGATAAGGGGGCATTTATGGACATTCCCTCCTAATACAAAAAATCTTACTATTAAGCTTCGTTTTATTTCTTCCTCTGTACCTCACCTTTTGCTGTTTATTTTTTATCTGAAACCTATTTCTAACCCACCAATTCATGAAAGAAGTACACATAATATATTTTAGTTTATTTTCCCCAAATGTTTGCTGGTTTTACAGCTGAAGTGAAACTGCCTCTAGACTTAAGAGAGATGTACTAAGATCTTTGGAGCTGCGGTGGCTCAAGTGGTTAAGACGCTGAACTGCAGGTTGTGGAAGGTCAGTAGTTCAGCAGTTTGAGACCCGAGTTGCCACATGATGGAGTGAGCTCCCGTCTCTAGTTCCAGCTCCTGCCAACCTAACAGTTTGAAAGCAAGAAATTGCAAGTAGATAAATAGGTACCACTTCAGTGGGAAGGTAACAGTGTTCCATGTGCCTTGGTGTTTAGTCATGCCGGCCACATGACCACGGAAACGTCTTCGGACAGTGCTGGCTCTTCAGCTTTGAAACGGAGATGAGCACTGCAACCCTAGAGTCGGACTCGACTGGCTTTAGAGCAAAGGAAACCTTTTACTAAGATCTTTAAAGTTAACCAGCTTTAAAACTTTTAATAAAGTTTGTGTGCACACGAAAGCCCATACCTCGAATAAACCTTTGTTGGTCTTAAAGGTGCCACTGGACTCTAAATCTGCTGTACAGCTTTCTTTGGTCATTTAAATTACTGGAAGGGCAATGTTGTATTCATCATTGTTGGAATTGTAGTGCAGATAAAGCCTGGACAAGTACAGGCTTCTGGCCAATGCCCCTTATTTATCTATTTAAAACACCTTTTAAAGTTATTTGCAGCTTTTGGATTTTGCTTTGGACCAAGGCTGTTACCTGCAACTTTTATCCAATCAGTTCTCATAAAGGACGTCATTGCGCACATCCAGAAATGTCCCTTCCTAGCTGTCAAGGAGTTCAGTACTTGAAGTTCAACATATTAACAATGTTATCATCCTCTGATAACTGTAGCCAGTGTGCTTTGCCTTTGTTTTTGTGTGCATTTGTTTTGAGCTCAGGTAATGAGAGCCTTAAAAAGTAACAGATTCAAGACACATTAGTTTAACGAAATAAGTGGAAAAAACCCTGATTTCAGCAGAGTACCATCTGCTTCTGCATCATGCGATCACAGAAGTTTCACATTAAATAACAGCAAGCAGAGATCTAGAGCAACTGAATGGCCTGCAAGGAGTCTGGGCGTTCAAAATGCTTTAACCAACTATGATGAACCCCTTCTCTTTCCTGGTGCTAGGGGAGCGGGTATCACCATGATACCCATTGCTATGCGGGGTCCCACAGGGGGCCATCCTCTTCCCCACACTATTTAACATTGTTATGCACCCCCTTGCCCAGCTGGTGCAGAATCATGGGCTGGGATGTCACCAGTATGCTGATGATGACACCCAGCTCTGTTGAAGAGCGGCTGACCAGAGGCCGCCACTGTTCCCTCTAAGGGGAGTTAGTGTGAGCTAGCTCAGTTCTTTAGCCTCCAGCTCACAAATTTTTGTCTTAGCTCAGGAAGGATGGCTTCAGAGCAAACTAATTTATGCAGTAGTCAAATTGCTCGCTCACAGTTTTAATGTATTTATTTTATTTATTTATTCTTCAAATTTCTACCCCGCCCTCCCAGCCGAGGCCGGCTCAGGGCGACTTACATAAAATCAACATATAATTACAATAAAACAATTGAAACATTTAAAACAGTATTAAAACCAATTAACAATAACATTATAAGTGCTAGTATTAAGTTGTTATTAAATCAATGATGGCTCATAGATCTCCTTCAGATGTCTTTCAGTCGGCTGGCAGAGGCTGTTAGTACAAATTCCAGAGGCAACAGGGCTTCCCATCCTAGTTGTTACTGGGGGGCGGCAGCTCCAAAAGCCTGGCAGAAGAGCTCTGTGTTACAGGCCCTGTGGAACTGTAAGAGGTTCTGCAGGGCCCTGATCTCTTCTGGGAGCTCATTCCACCAGGATGGAGCTGCCACCAAGCAAGCCCTGGCCCTGGTTATCGACAGCCTAGCCTCCTTGAGACTCAGGAGGGCCAGTCAGTTCTGGGCCCCTGAACGCAGTGCTCTCTGGGGAATATGTGGGGAAAAGCGGTCCCTCAGGTATGTAGGTCCCTGACCATAAAGGGCTTTAAAGGTAAGAACCAGCACCTTGAAACGAACTCGGTATGCTATAGGCAGCCAGTGCAATGCCTTTAGCACAGGCTGAATGTGCTCCCAAATTGAGAGTCCCATCAACAGCCTGGCTGCAGCATTTTGCACCAGCTGCAGCTTCCGGATTTGAAACAAGGGCAGCCCCATGTAGAAAGCATTACAGTAATCCAATCTCGAGGTGACCGTTGCATGGATCACTGTTGCCAAGTCACTGCGTTCGACGAAGGGAACCAACTGCCTGATCAACCGGAGATGATAAAAGGCTGATTTGGCAGTGGCTGCTACCTGGGCCTCCACTGTTACGGAGGCATCCAGGAGCACTCCCAGACTCCTAACCTCCGGCACTGGCACCAATGGAGCCCCATCAAAGGTCGGAAGCGAGATCCCTACCCTTGGACGGCCCCGACTCAGGCAAAGGACCTCCGTCTTCGTCGGATTCAATTTCAGCAGACTCAGCCTAATCAACCAGTGACTGCTTATAGCTCACAAAGTAAAATTTTTGTTCACAAGACTCTACAGCTTAGAGAGAGCACTGGAGGCCGCCTCAGAAAATCTGGCCAGGGGTTTGGAGGCCATGGTTGATTAGCTAAAAAACCCCAGACTGAAACTAAATCCAGCAAAGACAGAGGTCCTGTGGCTGGGCTGGACGGATTGCCAACTCCCCCCTCTTGACAGGGTGCCATTAACAGTTGGACTGTCCATGAAGAGTTTGGGAGTGATCCTGGATGCCTCCCTTTCTATGGAGGCCCAGGTCACAAAGGTGGTTAA